AAATGATAAAAAACACTATTTGTTCTTATTATAATAACTAGAGGCCCAATGCATGAAGATTCATGCAAGAATGGGCTTTCCTTCCCCTGGCTGCTGGCACCGCCTTTGCTCAGGCCCAGAGCCACCTTTCTGCCTTCATTCTGGCCCAGGGCTGCCTTTCCACTTTCCCATGCTGCCCAGAGGCCCCGAGTGTCTGGGGCGGTGCGGAATGCCTGCATCCACACCACAGCAATGACGCAAGCATCCCACCCTGCCCCTGGCCACTTGTCGCCTGCATATGCAAATTAACCTACCATTTTTTTTGGGTGGGTTAATTTGCATACTCACTCCTGATTGGCTGGTAGGTGTTGCAAAGGTACTGTCAATTTGCATCTTTCTCTTTTATTAGTGTAGATAAGAACCAATTTTATTATGATTGACACAAAGTTTTGAACATTTTTTTCTTTTCATGCAGAAACTAATAATTTAGATAATGCATGCAGGTAATAATCACAGCTTCTCATCAAGTTACATGCTTGTTGGGACTGGACAATTTAATATTACAGCCAAAAGCAAAGAAAAATGAAGTCTTAGTTATCTTGAGCAAGCTTATATTGAGCCACATTTCTTCCATGTGCAATCGCTGGTCCAATTTAAAAAGCAGAAGTTTCTTTCTAAAGGTGTATTTGTAGGACTAGAGAACCTAGTCCTGACCTATGTCAATGCCATCAGCAGTGAGGACCTGCCCTGCATGGAGAACGCAGTCATGGCCTCAGCCTAGATAGAGAACTTGGCTGCAGTGCAAAAGGCCATGGCCCACTGTGACTGGCAGATGGGTAGCATAAATGCTAACATAAAGCCAGCAATCTCTGCCATGAACTTCACCTCCAAGGAGAAAGGGGCTTCAATAGAAAGACAGGATCAGGAGGAAGGATGTGGTCCTGCTGAGGTGCCTGTAAGTTTTTACAGGGTCACAGACTGGTTTTTGAGAAGCCTTTCCAAAAATCTGAGGTCAAGCTAACATTTTCTCTGTACTCTTTCTATGTCCTATTTTCACATTAAAGGAGTTAACAATAAAGCTAGAAATAACTTTTGTAAAGAGAATATAAAAGCATCATCGGATCGCTGTTCAGCTTTACTTAAGGATAACTTCCAATCTTTAGAAGAAGATATAAAGCAGGGCGTTTATTCTAAATCAGGAGGATATCGTCTCTTAATGCAGACTGTGAACGAGCTGAAGAAAAAGTATCTTCAGGAACCCAGGAAGGGAATACAGGTAACCAGGATTTATCTGTCTCTCTGTTTCTCCCCTCAACCCCACACTTCCCTTCCTCCCGATCTCCCTCCACCTCCTCTCTTGGATCTGCTCTCTCCATGATGGCTTCATTCCTCACCCCTATGGGACCACAGCACCAACAGCTCCAAAAGGAGAGCCCTCAGTCAGAGAACAGAGACTCTCAATCTATATTTATATCAATCACTTACAAAGGTTTCTGCTTCATAGGGTACCAGGCTTGGCCAACCTGGAGCATGTACCCACCCTGTGACAGGGGCCCCTTGACCAGCACAAGGACCAGGGCCAAACAAAGCAACTCCTACAGGGAAAAAATGGTGGACAAACAGGAATAAGTGCTTCCAGTGATTTCCTATTACTAATGCCATTTTCTCTGGGTCCTAGAGTGAAGAAGTTCTTCACACATACCTGAGGTCCAAGGAGTCTGTGATTGATGCAATTCTACAGAAAGACCAGAATCTCACAAAAAGGGAAAAGCTGATTGAAGGTGATGAGCAAGTCAAGAGACTAGATAGCTTCAACAGTTTTTAAAAGTTTAAATAATTTGGCTTGGAGAATCTGGGGTCCTTAAACAAGAGCCAGATGAGCAAAGATGCCTATTACTAGCCAAAGTCAGTCCCAGTGGGGCAAATGCAGTCAGCAGCAACAATGACAGGTAAGTTCACAAAGAAGAAAAAGCAAGGTGGTCACCCACATGAATTTGTCTTCTTCCTTTCCTCCTGGCAGTGCAACGTATGAAAGCTGAATCTGCAGAGGCTGCAGCAAAAATGCTGGAGGAAATGCAAAAGAAGAATCAGCAGATGATGGAGGAGGAAGAAAAGATTTATCAGGAATATGTGAAACAATTGGCTGAGAAGATGGAGCAGGAGAGGGCCCAATTAATGGCAGAGCAAGAGAGGGCTCTGTCTCTTAAACTTCAGGTATGTAATGGCATCACCTAGATGTTTCCCTTATTCTGTTTTCTGAACACTCTCCCTGACCTGTTTGTGTGGCTGTTAGAACTCAAAACCCGGAAGGACCTTGCTTGCCCACTTATACTTTTCAATCCCTGTCTGTCTGCCTGACTTGGAGCCTGCTTATTAAAAATTTTTTATTATCCTTTATCTCACATCCAGTCCTTTATCAGTACTCTATAATTCCGGTGCACAAATTTGTGCACTTATAGGGTCCCTCAGCCAGACCTGTGCCATCTCACAATTCAGGACTCCTCAGGGGTTGTCAGACTGCTTGTTTTGGTCCGATCCCCACGGGTCAGGCTAAGGAACCCCACCAGTGCACGAATCCGTGCACCAGGCCAGTTTTGACCCGATTCTCACAGGCCAGGCCAAGGCACCCCACCAGTGCACAAATCCATGAACCGGGCCTCTAGTATGCATATAAGATCTTTGGTTAATCTCTTCCCACCCTCTGCCCTCCCCCCTTCCCTCAGAGATTCATCAGTCTGTTCCATGTTTTCATGCCTGTGCATTGAGCATCTGCCCCCTGGTGGTCAGTGCGCAGTATAACTACCAGTCGAATAGTCAAACAGTCGCTTAGGCTTTTATATAGAGAGAGTAGAGGCCTGGTGCACAAAATTTTGTGCACAGGTAGGGTCCCTAGGCCTTGCCGGCGATCAGGGCCAATCGGGGCCTTCCTTCTGGCTGATGGCAGGAAACTTCCCTTGCTGGGGCCTTCCTTTGTTCTGCATCGCCCCCTGGTGATCAGTGCACATGAAAGCAAGCAATCCCACTCCTGAGGGGACAATTTAGCATATTTGTCTTTTATTATATAGGGTTCTTCAATCAATGGTAGCTATTATCTTCTAAATATTGCAAATACTATATCTTACCTGTTTCTCTTGCTTAATATTATATGAAGCAAGAATTGCTGAGTACCTATAACTTATGAAAAAAACAGAGGTTCAGAAAAGATGAGCTTTTTCAGGGTCACACAGATTGGTAAGATATCTGAACCACCTTCACCACTTAGAGCAGTGGTTCTCAACCTTGGCTGCACACTAGAATCACCTGGGGATCTTTTTACAATCCTGATTTCTGGGCCTCATCCTCCGGAAATTCTGTTTCTTTGTTACTAATGTTGTGGCCCCACCCCATAACAAAGAAACAGAATTTCCTGGGGCCACAATTAGTAACAAAAAAACAGAATTTCCGGAGGATGAGGCCCAGATATCAGGATTTTTAAAAAGATTCCCAGGTGATTCTAATGTGCAGCAAAGATTGAGAACCACTGATATAGAAAAATCTACAATCACTGTTTTTCTGTCACACCTGGTATGACTCGGTTCTAAAAGAACCTTTATGAGCAGAAAGACTCCTTTCCTCTCACACCTGTGTCTGCCACTCCTGACTGTTTGCTATGCCCTATGCCTAGTTTGTGTAGTGAGTTATGTGCAGAAATCCTGTATGGACAGTTAAGGGCCTTGATGTCTCCTTACTTATATCCTGCTACTCTTGCCACCAAGCTGTGGAAGCTTAAATCAAATTCCCTGATCTAATATTCAGACACTTCCTTTGATTTTGAGTATATTTTATTTCTGTCATGTGTATGTATATAAAAGTCTGAGTGTTTGTATCCTATCTAATAATAGACAAACATGGTAATTAACTGTAACTTCGCTACACTTCCCATTGGCTAATCAGGGCGATATATGCACATTAACTGCCAACTAAGATGGTGGGTAACCGCCAACAAAGATGGTGGCTAATTTGATTACTGCAGGCAGGGCGGGACAGCACCATCCCACCTGTCCCGCTGCCATCCGGGCCTGGTATTTGTGACCGGGCAGCAGGCGGTCCTTATGGGAACAGACCCATGGCTGGCAGCGGGACCGCAGTGATCGGCCACTGGCCACACCCACAAATGACCCTCCCATGGTGATCCCGGTGCTAATGCACTGATCCGCCACTGGCCATGCCCACAAACGGCCCTCCAGCGGGGATCCCTGGCTGACCGCTGCTAACAAACTGATCTGCCACTGGCCACGCCCACAAACGGCCCTCCGCTGGGATCCCAGGCTGGCAGGTGCTAATACACCGATCTGCCAAAACACACACCCAGGCCGCCTTTGCCCTGCACAAACTGTGCAGCTGGGAGAGGGGAGTGGAGCCCCCAGGACCAGGGCGGGAACTTCCCGGGGTTTGCGTCAGCCAGCCCAGAGCAGAATGCGAACTATCCCCACCAGTAGCTGCTTGCTCATTCACTTATTTGCTCATTCATTCACTCATTCACTCACTCATTATTCTCTCACTCGGCAAACCCTCTCAGGACTCTGGCACCAGGCCAGGCACTGAAGTTGAAGCAGGATAAGACAAAGCTATGTCCTCAAGATGTTAGTAATTCAGTAGGGCGAAGCAGGCACATGAACAAGGCAGTTGTATGCACAGATGCACTGTACTGGGTTCGGTGAGGACTGTAACTAACGCCGACTTTGTTCTCTTGATAAAATGGGGCCCCGGGAGCCAGGCCGCCCAAGCCTGTAGGCCTGTGCCTAGGCCAGGAGTGGCCGGGGTCCCGGAACATAGCAGAGGGGTGCAGGTCAGGCTGAGGGGTCTGGCCCCACTCCTCACCCTCACCCCCGAGTGCACAAATTTTTGTGCACCAGGCTACTAGTGTGTGTATAAGCGCCTATAACATTTGAAAAGAAACATGATTAAGATTGCCCACGTAGCCCTGACCGGTTTGGCTCAGTGGACAGAGCGTCGGCCTGCAGACTCAAGGGTCCCAGGTTGGATTCTGGTCATGTACCTTGGTTGCAGGCACATACCCAGTGGGGAGTGTCCAGGAGGCAGCTGATTGACGTTTCTCTCTCATCGATGTTTCTCACTGTCTATTCTTCTCCCTTCCTCTCTGTAAGAAATCAACAAAAATATATTAAAAAAAAAAAGATTGCCCACATAGGTTGTATAGAATTAATGGGACTTATAACTTAAGTTTATCAATATATTAGAAGGTATAAGCCAAAATCTCTCTTAGCTAAAGGAGGCTCAAGATAAGCAATCATGGAACTAGGATGTCCAGGTTAAAGTATCCTACATAATAAAAGGCTAATATGCAAATCGTCCCCTCGACTGGAAGTTCGACCGCTCACTATGATGTGTGCTGAGCACCAGGGGGCAGCACGGAACATGGCGGGCGTCGGTGATGCAGTGCTGGCAGCGGGCGGCAGTGGAGGTGCTGCTGGCCCCAATGGGCCCTGATGAGAGCAGGACCACAGCAGGATGGTGGACCAGGTAAGTGGGCAGTAGCAGGGCAAGGTGAATGTGAGCAGGGCCCCACTGTCCTGCCAATCACCCTGAAGAAGGCAAACAGTGGCAGTAACGGGGGGCAGGGCTGACGCCTGGCTCCCAGGCGCTAAGGAAGCTTGAAGGGGCCCAGTGACTCAGGAGGAGGGGTATACACGGGGGCCCGGGGGCTCAGGTGCCGCCCAGGGCCCAGAGGTTAGCTGGGACCTGCACTTCCACGCCAGATGCTCGTGTTTTGATCGTCAGCCAGGCCTAGGGACTGCACCTATGCTTGGATTTCATGCATCAGGCCTCTAGTAATGAATATTTACGGTACAGAAAATTTCAAGAAGAAAGTACTCAAAAAAACACACACCATAAATGTGGAAACTAACTAGAAGTTGAAATTTGCTTACTGCTGTACTTGATTTTCTCTTTACTTGTCCCTTTTTAGGAACAGGCCATGTTACAAAAGGAAGGATTCCAAGATGAGAGCAGACAACTTCAGAGAGAAATAGAGAATCTCAAGAATAACATGGCAAGAAGCAGGAAGAAATGTATCTTAATCTAAAGTCCTAAAGGAAAGAGATTCCCTGGTCAGTCTACTCAAGGCATAACTCAAGCAGTTTTAGAATTTGGAAAAAGTCACAACTTGAGAAAAAGTGGCCCTCTTTAAGCTGATAAAAGAAATCTACAAAAACCCCTTCACCTAACATACTTAATGATAATAAATGGAATGCTTTGCCCTTAACTCGAATAAAGCAAGGATGGGCAGTCTCTCCACTCCTGTTAAATAGTATAATGAAAGGCTTTCTACAATATGGGAGGGAGGGAAGGAAGGAGGGAAGGAAGGAAGGAAGGAAGGAAAGAAGGAAGGAAGGAAGGAAGGAAGGGAAGGAGGAAGAGAAAGGAAGGGAGGGAGAAAGAAAGAAGTAAAGAAAAGGAAAGGAAGGAAGAAAGGATCAGAAAGAATAAAATAAAACTGCCTTTATTCTCACACACTTTGATTATCCACATAGAAAAAATCCCTGGGAATCTACAACAAAATAGCAACAACAGCGACAACAAAAACTCTTGGCACAAATACGTGAGTTTAACAAGGTTGTAAGATTCAAAGTCAATACACAAAAATCCACTTTCAACTGTATCTTTATATAAAACCAATGGACTATTGGAAACCAAAAATTAAAAAACATAACACTTACAATAGCTGTTTTTTAAAAATGGAATACTTA